CATTTCTCGCTGGAATACCTCCAGGCCTGCAAGCATTGTAACAATGAAGTGGATACAGTAAGACAAGAGAATATAAATGCAAACAGGTATTTATATTTGTGGCAACATACGTCTGGTGAATTAACCCATTCACCACCAATTTACGTTCTGTCCACTGTAGTTTTTTGTGAATTTTGTTACATATAGATGGCCCCACACATGCTCAGCCGGAATGGAGTCTATCAGTAGGCCCTATGACCGATCCTGATTTCCCCATTCCCTGAATTGGCAGGGAAAATGTGTTTTTCTTTTTAATACAATTGATATTGATACTGTTATTATTGTTATTGATATATGAGATAGGTAGGACTAATAACATACTCCTTGGTGATTCAGCATTTGTAGAGCCATCTAGGTGTAAATACAATAAATAAACTTATATTGCATTGCATGTATTCTTGCCATCCATGCCAATCTGATTAATGACCTAAAAGGTACTAACTATTTTCTGCAAAAATCTGATATACACAAAAAACAAAAACAAAATAGAAACCACAAAAAGAAAAAGAATATATCAGAAATAGTAATTTGGCAATTTAGTAGTTCTATTTCCTATTGATTGCAATGAATGTGATGAATATACCACATCGTTTTACAAACATTTATGTCAATTATAGAAATATACATTATAGTTTGAAGTATATGTATATCCAAAGACAAAGAAGAAACAGGCTAGACTGTATACAAATAAGTATTCACTTGTTCACTATCTAGTATTTTTACCTTGCCAACCCAAGAAAAGCACAGATACCAACACATTAAAAAACTTCACCAAAGAAAATGAGCATTATCAATAACTTTAGTCAACTGATGGACTCCTAAAGCACTCACGGGACATGGTCCTCCTCATCTATAGGATCAGAATCTGCTTGGATGGATTCCATGGCAGTTGAGTGGGCCACAAGTTTGTGTCGATTGATTGAGCGGGATCGGGTCAAGCCAGTGCCCTCTCCTTCCGCCTCTCCGCTCCCGTCGTCTGCTGGCCCACCATCTCCGCCATTTAATTTTTTCTCTTTGTCTTGCTGTTGAGACAAAATATTTGCCACAATTATGCTCTGATTGATTCAGTCTAGCATCTCAAAGAAAATGTAATGATATACTTGCTGATTAATAACTTTATTTAAACACTGATATTACTTTTCAACAAGCTTTTTTTTAAACTAAAAATCTTCTTTGAGAAAATTCTACAAGTATTTATAAAGGCCCCTGGCTCACCCTCACTTCATGGAATTCTAAAAAATAAAAAAAAACATAGCAGCAATAATACAAACCTGTATTCACATGAAAATGCACTGGTATAGCAATTAAATAAAGCAAATTTTAACAAACATTATACATTTTTTTCTTGCAACAATTAATCATGTAGATACATCAAGCTAAGAAGAATCATGTTTTAAAAATAATAATAACATCACTAAGTTAAAGCTACTACTGACATCCATACTGTTGATACTGATACTACTACCATCACTACTTTAAACACTAATGATAACAAATCTGCTGTGGAATGAGATATTAGCAAAAATACTGAAAAAAAAATAATAAAAAAAAAAAATAAATACTTACTGCCTTCTTTCTGGCTGCAAGATCTAAATTGTGAATGCCCACTAATAAGGAGTAATCCATAATCTTGAAAGATGTTAATACCTTCAAGGAAAAGAAGAGAAACATTAGTTGTATAACTGTTACAATTTACAACAAAATGTACTTATATATTTGTATTTGTATAAGTATTTACTTACTTTCCTTACTCTGTCATATCCGCAAACATTATAATGATAATCATAACTATGTTTAGTTCCTCAGTATTCAAATACCCCAAAAACTACTGAATCAAGCTACATATATGCTGCAACTATCACTTTTTCATGGTTTATAAACAAAATGGTAACTTAGCCCTGTATTTTCTAAATCAGTCACTAGCTTCACTAAATATAACCTAATGACAATAAGTTACTTATTTCTTTAAGCCATCCAAGCAATAGCTCCATATCAATAATCTGATGGCCAATTATCAAGAGAAGTAACAGCATGATTACAGAGATTAATCATATTATCATATATAGCTTTCATAAGGTCTCATGATATCTATATGATGAAAACATTGTATCTCCTACATTCATGTTTAAGCTCTAACACATTATTCATAACAACAAAAGAATATTTCCCTGATTGTTAAATGTGACGTATTTTAGTCTTACTACAACAAATGTGACTTACTCTGCAGTCTCTTGCAATGGTATTTATGAGAGCTTTGTAGGTTTCTGCCTCTAGTAGAATACCTTCTGGATGGTGCTCCATAAAGTCCAAGTCCTTAAATGTTGGGGATTCTTTGCTTCGTTCATACTTACTAGCCTGAAACACCACCAATAATTATTAGTTATGAATTTGATCAAAGGAAATAATATCCAAATACTTAACAAAAAGCACAATCAAGGATATTACTCTGTTCAACAGGGTAACTTCTCTACTTAGACTTGGCCTGCTCACTAAGTATCCATCTATTTTGAATAACATAAAAAAGTCTGTGACCTTAATGTAACTTGCCAGCTAGTCAAGGGGGGCCATATGACATATACATGAACATTCACTATCCTGTACTTGTACATGGTCAGCAGTGAGCAAGGTTATCTACTGATGACGAATGTTAGTACAAAAGATCAACTCCCCTATATATATATATATATATATATATATATATATATATATATATATATATATATATATATATATATATATATATATATATATATATAACTTTTGAGTATTAGAAAATGAAAAATTAAAGTATGTAAAAAGTCTCGACTCAGTATTTATCACAATAAATATAACCGTTACAGAAAAATTCTGGATTAAAATGAAGGCACTGTAATGTTATACAAGATTATGGAGAAGTCCATACACTATGGAAAACAGTTTGAAGGTATTCAGTCTGACTTGAATAAATGTGCTTCCTCTTCCACTTCTTTACTTCTCTCATTATCATTACCATTATTACAATCATTATCATCATTGTCATTATTACTATTATTATTATTACTATCAATATACTTATCAGAATAATTATCAACATCACTACCATTAGCACAATAAATATTATATATAATTTCTATAATCATTGTCATTACTATCATTATTTTCAATATAATAATTATTCTAATCATTATTCTTTATTACTATTATTATTGTTGCTATGATCCTTGACATTACTGTTGTTATCATCATTAATAGTATTCCTTATTACTATCATTATATCATCTTTACAGGTATTCTTACTACGACTGCCATTATCATTAACATTATTGTTATTTTCATTATCATAATCATGACCATCATGATCATCATCAACAGTAGCATTAACATTACTCAGATATTACATTACTTTAATTTAAATATAGATTTTTTCTTTAACCTTGTGCGACAAAGACATTATTATCTATACACATTATAGTAAAAACTAAGTAGAAACCTGGTAGATGCTTTAATTATACAGTTTCTAATATAGAGCATTTAAATGTGTGAATCTGGGAGTGAATCTTTCTTACAACCTACACATTCCACGTGACATCTGATACCGTTATTAATGGGTTAAGAGAAAAAAATTACTGATTTTACAGACTACCATGTAACAAATTCCTCCTTGGGATATAGGACTGGTCTCTGTTAAAAACTGTTACATACTCAAGTATTTTGCAACATTTGCTGGTTAGGGTCTGCATTATTTAAATGGTTGGAAAATTCCAGAACACACTTTATAAACATCAACATACCATGATGGGTGATGTGGTATCATGTCATAAGCAAATAGCTCAAACTTTGGGATGAGGTTTTGCACTTGCTACCACCAGTTTGATAATTAAAAAAACAACAACAGATGTGTGAACTAATAAACACTCATCCTTATCTGACTTTACACCCACCCCCCTGCAAAAAGAAAGAAAGAAAGAAAGAAAGAAAGAAAGAAAAAGAGGTCCAAACTTTTACAGAAAAATTAGAGTGCCATACAAAATTAATATGAACATGATAATTAATACCTTACCTTTCTTTTGTACGTAGAACCTTTTAGATCATATTTCTGATGCATCTTTATTGATGACGGAAGTAAGTTGTTCATTGTTATCAACCTAATATTCTTGGCATTACACTGTGGGGATAAACAATAAGAAAACAATTAAAAATAAAGTCAAATTCTAATTGATGAAACATTACCCAGTGGTCACAACCATTGAGCAACTACGTGGAAAATTATAATTAACTAATATACACTTCATGTTTTCAACTTACTGAAGTGTAAAATCATCTCCCATTTCCCCGATGTACATTCATATAAGTACAAATGTACACCTATGTATTTTTGTGTGTGTATGTGAGACTGGGTGAGTGTGTGTGTCTATGGAAGGGGGATGTGTGTGCATTTCACTTCATCATGACTACAACTACATAAAAGATGAAAAAAATATCTCCTCAAAATCTTTATTATGCTTTCAGGCACTGCATCAGAGCATTTCATTTATATGCTCACAGAGGTGCCTTAATCTAATCATGAAAGAATTTTGTAATGTTCAAAAGTAAAAGGCTTTCCCTATTCACACTTCAGTAAAATTATAAACCAAGTAAAAGTAATTCCTATAATAATTCAGGGGAAAGAAATTTTCAGTCATGGATTTTGATCATAATAATAATAATAAAAAAAAGGTAAAAAAAATCAGATCAAGTGGTGAGGCATAACCATGTTAACAATTGCCACATCTTTTCTATATTTCTTCAAAGTTCACAGTAAACACCTTGTAAATTTGTCAATATACCACTTCTCAAAAATAAATCAATAAAAAAAAAACATGCTTAGTATCCAATAAAATGTGAAAGGGTGAGCAAATTAGCAACTCACAGATGCTAACAATTAACTATGAAGTATATATAAATAATATAGGGAGGAACTTAAATTTTTCAAAGCAAAATCCCAAACAATAGTATCATAAACATAATTTGCTTCTACATAATGTAACTCAATTATTTGTACAATTTCTCCTGCATAACATAAACTAAAGATTACTGTGCGACTTTTAAAACTATTCCATACCTACTGGTAAAAACACTGAGGTTAAAATCAAAATATTTCTGAAAATGCCACAATATTTTAAAATCACAATGAAAATCCTTTTATTGTCTCTTGAGGTCTGATGCGAAGGTTACAGATCACACACTGTGTTTCATATCACTGGAAGCTTAGGTTAACTTCAATTAAAGAAAAAGAAACACAGGTACATAAATTTACCTGCTCTCTGGGCTGTTGTATAAGCTAATTCTATAGATAATGTGCTTAAAACTAGGCTTTATGCCTACTTCTCATGGTCTGTTTCTCTTCACTGACTATTGCCAAGGCCAAAAAAGTAAACAACTATCTAGTGTGCACAACTTAAAGCCAGGAATTGGCCACTATGTGAGCTAACTCAAGTTTTCAGAAGTGGATACGATACCATTTGACCAATTTTTTACCAATGTGTTGGTACTTTGTTGACTGGGTCTTTCTCTCTCCCTCTGTATATATCATCTACCAATTTTGTTCATTCTGAGAGAGCCAGTTTAAAGCAAAAAGGCTTGCTCTGGAGTGTTGCTATTTTATCTTAAACCCAACTGCATTTATTTATTTATTTTTTTTTTCTGAATTAAGCAAAATTTAAATTCCATGGCAATTGTAAGTGACGCTTTCCTACTAACTTTGAGGAAATGAGATATTTGTATTTGAAAGTATACATATTCATATTTCTCATGCTTGCCATCTATGCTGAATTTTTTGGTCTTAATGAGAAAGTAAGAAAGAAAGAAAGAAAGAAAAAATTGTTCAGTGCCTCTTGGATGGTCCTTGCATCTTTGTATAAGTATATGATGCATATAAGGTGGCCTTTCTATTTGTGTAGACTTGCCAAAACTGAAAGGTATATTTTATGACAAAGTGCCCATTTACTAGCTTCTTATGTGATCTGCTAATTTTTTGAAAAAAATCTATTATGATTCCATAATAATTGTTGTTTGTATTCATATAATTTTTTGATGTATGTCTCTCTCTTAAGTAAACACACTGCTTTACTGCTGTGTTTCTATTCCAGCTTGAAACCAAACTTTGCAACAGACTTCAAGGGACCAGAAAATGATGTATCTGACTGACATAAAATGCTCATCTTCAGTCTGAGAGGTCTGGCATATGGATTCTGCTCCTGCCACAGAGGTTCCAGGTGAGCAGGGCGAGTGACTAGGACTTTCGTTTTCTGGGAGTTGATTAATTATAATCATTATTATCATTTATTTATCAATTATTATATATATTTCTTTAATGTTGCATTTGCACACTGCACCTAAATTTCAGAAACAACATGAGGACAACTCATTTCAGATCTAAGCTATCAAAATTATTCCAATAACCTTCACACCAGACCTCTAACAGAGAAAAACATTTTCTGTCTGTCTAGTTACTTGTTTATGCTCATCTCCGGCTTCGTTTCAAGAAGCAAATCATGCAAACACAGGGAACATGACCAAGAGTTAGTAAAACAAATAATAACATCATGGTAATGCATACCAACAAACAAACAAAACAAGAAATTTCTACACATAATGAGTCATCATATGCACACTATTTCCATGTCTAATATAACTGTTAATTGCTTATAGCCACTTGTTACTATGTAAAATGTGTGTGTGTGTGTGTGTGTGTGTGTGTGTGTGTGTGTGTGTGTGTGTGTGTGTGTGTGTGTGTGTGTGTGTGTGTGTGTGTGTGTGTGTGTGTGTGGTTGTGTGTGTGTGTGTGTGGTTGTGTGTGCGGTTGTGTGTGCGTGTGTATGTGTGTTGTTGTGTGTGCATGCATGTACATTTGCTTGTGTGTGTGTGTGTGTGTGTGTGTGTGTGTGTGTGTGTGTGTGTGTGTGTGTGTGTGTGTGTGTGTGTGTGTGTGTGTGTGTGTGTGTGTGTGTGTGTGTGGGTGTGTGCGTGTGCGGTTGTGTGTGTGGTTGTGTGTGCGGTTGTGTGTGTGTGTGTGTGTGTGTGTGTGTGTGTGTGTGTGTGTGTGTGTGTGTGTGTGTGTGTGTGTGTGTGTGTGTGTGTGTGTGTGTGTGCTTGTGCTTGCACACGCATGTATATATATATGCATGTGCGTGTATATGCATGTGGTGCATGTGGGTGCATGTGCGTGTGTGTTTGTGTGTGTGGGTGCATATGTATGGGTGTATGCGGATGTGTGTGTGCATGTTCGAACATGTCCCGATATAATAAAAATGTAAACTAATGATAACAAAAATAACCATAATATCATATTTTTCACCTCTAAGCAAAGTTCCAAAACTCTTACTTGGAACTGATGGTCAGTCCTAAAATTAATAAAATAAAATTATACTCATCCTCCTTTAACAAAATTTGTCCAATAACAATTCAATTCAGGTGGCACCTAAAGACTCAATATTGCTCTTCCACTATACTGCACAGAGAACCATAGGTATTAAATACACCCGCTATCTAATTCTTTTGCACAAAAGAAACAGAGAATGAGTAAATAAAAAGACAAAAGTATGATCAAATTCTTAAGATGGTCCACCTCTTCCACTAAATATTTTGTCATAATGATAAACAGTAAATGAAGGATAAATAAATATATGGGAAACAATAACAAGAGAAATAATAATAATAATCTTGTTAGCCACCTGAACATTTTCACTGACAATCACTCACTAACACTATTAATTACACTATCAACGTCTAAGTAAGAATAGTGATCACAAAGTGTTTCTGAACCTGAGGTGAAAGAGTAAAGAGAATACCATTTCAAGTGCCTATTGTTATTTACGTTTATGTGTGTATACACATGTAAGTGCAAAATTGTTTGATCATGTGTGCCGCTAATATGAAAAATAACAATGAAAAATAAAAGGAATCTGAACTTTTGGGTTTAAATAGTTTTAAATAAGGGCAGTGTATGTTGAGAGTGTACTTTGGTGAACAAGTATAATGGTATGAAATTTGGTGTAGTTGTGGAGTACCATCCTGAATGAAGTATAAGTAATACAAGGAAGAATATAGGTGAGGATATGGGAACTATGTGAGGTGTAAACCTGTCTGCTTACAAAAAACTGTCATAAGAAAAATAAGGTTCAAGCTAAACTGAAAAAAATAAATAGAATAAAAAAAAAAAAAATTAAAACATGTGGAAGCATAAGATTCTGTCCTTTCCAACTATGCTATGGCTGCTAATCTACCTTATGATGGCGCACTGGCTGACAATGTAACCCACAGCAAACTTTGGGACCTCTTGTCTTCAAAGAAAAATTAAAGTTGGATTCAACTGGATCCTGACTGTCACAACATCATGTTCCAATTATGTTACAACCAAAGATAATGAGTATGACAACCAACAAAGTGATCTGTAAAAACTTGTTATGACATTAACTTGGCATTAACATATACAATGTATACATATATTAATATCATATTAAGAAACAGTTTCACCATTACCTGATAATTATAGAGCCCAAAAAACTTTGGTAATAATGTTCTAGGATTCTGGTTCAGATTCTGAAAAGAGAAAGATTTCATTAGACAACTTTATATCTGCATAGAAAATTATCAATACTCCTTTTTAATGTCATTGCAAATTGGAAATTAGGGTAACATTTATTTGACACTAGCTTCAGACATAAATGGTCACACTTTATTATGCAGTGTACCAAGCTGCAAATCCAGCTCAATTTTACTATTGATATTATTGTAACAATATAACATAGTCCAAATACATATACAGCTCCAAGCTTTATTGGTTCTTGATTTAGAAGAACAAACTTTAAGAACAATTTTATTAATTAAAAAATGAGGATCTTTGTTACTAAGCTATTGATTACAATAATTCACTCCTCATTGCTGCAAAATTTCTCTTCAATTCCCTTGGGAGAAAAGGACAAAAAAAAAATGGAATTTGGGTAGATTTAAGGTAATATCAATGAACATGGCTCCATAAACGTTTAGTCACAAGGAGTCAATTACTGATTACTTTTCTCTGAATTTCAGGAAAAAAAAGTTTCTATTTTCATAAACATTTGTATTGTTACAAAGGTTATAGGAATGATAATGTAAATAATAACAATAATAAATAACAATAATTATTACGGATAATAACATGATAAATAAGAACTTCTTTCATGAAAATTCAATGAATGAGTTAAACAGGTGAGGTCAGGTAGGTCTAGTATCAAACTCCTTGGTGGCTAAAGACTTGTGGAGCTACATATGTGTAAATAAAATTGACAAAAGAAAAACTACAATAGACAGGTCAGGTCCAAAGGTTAAAATTTGAAGCAAAAAGATTAGATTTGAACTTGTACATCTGAAGAAGGTAGAAAAAGCGGAGGAAGATAGAAAGGAGGCAGAACAAAATATGAAGGAAGAAGAGGAGGAGGAGGAGGAGGAGGAGGAGGAGGAGGAGGAGGAGGAGGGATAGGGGTACAGGGAAAGAGAAAGGGAAAGGTAGGGAGGGAAGGAGGAAAAGGGAAAGGAGATGGAGAAGGTGGAGGCAGAGGAAGAGGAAAAAGAAAAAGAAAAAGAAAAAGAAAGAAAGAAAGAAAAAAAAAATATATATATATATACAGAAAAACATTAACACAATATGGATAAATCTAAGACAAGAAAAAAAAAAATGAGAAAGATGAAGAAAAAAGAAGAAAAAGAAGAAAAAGAATTAAAAGAAGACGAGTAAGAGAATGACAAGAACACCAATCTTACCATATAATATCCTGGCAATAACTTTTGAAGGAACTCTGCCTCCTTGTGCTGCACTGTCTTGATAATGAACTCATCATCATTTGTTAAATAAAATATGCTGCCACTCGCCCCAGGATTACTTAGTTCCCGAAGAGGCTCGCTGCACAATGAAACCTGGAGGGGAACAATGTAACATTAGTTTTAAAAGATGATAAAAAGAAATACATTATCAACAGACTGCATTTTTAAAACTATAAGATGAATTGAAAATAAAAGACATTTTTTTTTTTTTTTTTTTATACTGTCTACCTTGTTATGGATAACTATTAACATTATCATACAAAATTGTAAATGGCAGTTCTAATAATAATGTACTTACAAGATAGTCTTCTGGTTGAATTTTAAACAGATCTCTAAAATGTCTAAATGCTATGGGTGCATACACTTTGAATCTGAAAATAAAAAAAAATAATTAGATAAAGTTAACTTTTATATCTTAACTTCCTAAACTTCAATAAGAAAAATAAGAAAAATATAATACACAAAGTATCTATATTTTGTGTGTGTGTGTGTGTGTGTGTGTGTGTGTGTGTGTGTGTGTGTGTGTGTGTGTGTGTGTGTGTGTGTGTGTGTGTTGCAGTGTGTGTGTGTGTGTGTGTGTGTGTGTGTTGCAGTGTGCATTTGTGTGTGTGTGTGTTGCAGTGTGCATTTGTGTGTGTGTGTGTTGCAGTGTGCATTTGTGTGTGTGTGTGTTGCAGTGTGCATTTTTGTGTGTGTGTGTGTGTGTGTGTGTGTGTGTGTGTGTGTGTGTGTGTGTGTGTGTGTGTGTGTGTGTGTGTGTGTGTGTGTGTGTGTGTGTGTGTGTGTGTGTGTGTGAGAATAATGATTCCATAAAAAAAAAAAAATATGCTTAGGGGACCCTCAATGGTAACTTCTTTTTATCATTCTCCTCATCATTATTTACAAGTAAATTTGGATGATACTAATATAGAACATGTCTAATTTTACATACATATCACCTGCCAAATCTCAGAATCTTGCCTTAGTAATTTGCAGAGAGAGAGAAAAAAAAGCTTGCAAAATAAATACAAGGGCAGACCTGATCCAATGACAGTTTGAATAGGCATTATGATTTCTCTTTAGTTTAATGTAGAAAGAAAGTTTATTTCCATTCCTCAGCTATTATTGCAACAATATAACTTGTATATACCTACAAATGAGCCAAAAAATTGCAAATCATCAGTTGATGTGAACCTAGCCCTTGTAGAGGTTCTGCAAGTGTTGCAATATTGTAAGTTGACAAAATGTACCAAACTGAAAATTCTTAAGCATTTGTTCAGAGAATTAAAGATCATTGTTAAATAGAAATACATAACATAAATATGTACAGTAGTGAATCTCAATGAGGGTCCTTTAAAGTAATTTTTTTTTAATGAATTTGGCAATTATAATTTGCCACATGATTCTCCAAGGATGCACAAATTACATATAAAGCTTTTTTTTCTGGGAAAGAAGAAGAAGAAGAAGAAGAAGAAGAAGAAGAAGAAGAAGATGGTCTCGTTAAAGATATTTCAAGGCACCCTTTATTATTATTATTCATATAAGAAGAGTACATTTAATAAATCCTATTCAAGTAACCTGTCAGAGAAAGAATCAAGATCCTTAATAAATTCTCTCATGCTTAACTGACTACTAGCATAAAATCATCCATATATTCTTTTTTTTTTTTCTTTTTTCCCTATAAATCAGCTCAAAAACTTCTATAAAAAAACCTGAGAGTAAGAAGGAATGTCACCTTAAAAGTTAACTTACCTAAACTCAGAAAACTGATGAGCTGGTGTTGACTGAGAACCAACAGAAGGAAAAAAAATAGTTTCTACAACATAAAAATCCTGGATTAAAACATCCAGATCAGGCTTGCTTGCCAGGCTTCCCACTGCTTGTTGGATACCCAGCTGGATTGATGCCATAAGTTGTGAAGTCCCAATCTGTAGGTGTGAAGACGGAGATTAGAATGTGCATATACCTGAAAACATACTTCTCATACCGACACAACTTTTCATGCTTTGCCACATAGCCTTTCACTCTCACTCACTCACTAATACACTCAAAATAGCCTACAGACAAACAAACAAACATGTATATATGCAGTCCCACCCACCACTCTTTCCACCTAAGCCACACCCATATACATACACATACAGACACGTAAACAGACAAAAATACACTTACTTTTTTGTATGTAACGATGCCTCCTTCTCCCACTCTCCTGTGGCCGATCTTCCTCTCTTTATCCCTAAAGGTATCATATCGTGAAGTGCCGGGGGTCCGTGGGGTCTGAGAGGAGACTGTGGGCGTCTTGATGCCACCCTCGCCACCCGCATTTTGTGCTGCAGCAATCTGTAGAGAAGAAGTGTGTTATAAGTCAAGTTAAAGTAAAAGGGTTTGGTTACAAGAAAATCATGAAGTAGTAATAAAAATTAAGTGACTTACATGAGAGTCAAGGAAACTTGTTACTGTGTTGATCCAAGGTAATTGTGATTTGAACTAAAAACACTTAAATGATGCACCATCTTAAGATATAACACAGATGTGGTACATCAGTGCACTGAATAATCACCTTAATCTGCCCTACTTTGAATCACACAAAAAATTAGTTACATTTATTAAACAATAATAACAACCATTAGGAAGGCACATTAAATATGCATTGCCTTGAGCTA